ACATGTAAAAATGGATAGTGTACTATTCTTCATACCATTGGTTTAATTAGATTGAAACCAGCACCCACTATCTACCTGCCACCTGTTCATATTACAACAACAAAAGAAGGGTAAAGGGGATATGGGATTTTTAACACTGGTTTCAGTGGGTGAAGAATTGATCATAACATAACTGGTTGAACTCTTTAGCTAGGTAGTGGCTATGAAGGTTGTTCTACAATGCCAAACAATTTAATTGCTTGATGACGTGATATAATTATATTCTTTTCTCATGGTTATTCAAATGAGCTTTCCTTGCTTTTTAAAAAAGTTTTTAATATTAAAAGAATCCTTCCATACAACATTTCAACACTGTACACTTCAAATAATATATCATTTAAATATATACAATATGTACTCCTTGATTTTCTGTGTTCAACGTGGAATTAAAATGGATTTAATAGCATTGTTACCATTCAATGTGCATAGTACTCAACATTGGAAAGGTGCAAAATGTTTTTATTGTGGTACAAAGTTAAATAAGCAAAAACAAAATGGCACTTCTTGCTTGCACACGTATTAGCTCCCTGAGTCACTATCTGGTAGAAGCACCATTGGCAGCTGCAAGTTTTCTTGGGTATATGTTTGACAGCATTGGGCATCTGGATCCTGCAGTGCTTCCCATTCGTCCTGGCAAAAATACTCTACCTCTGTCAGCTTAGATTCGAGTACTGGTGAAGAGGAACTCTCATGTCTTGCCACAGATTCTCAATAGGATTGAGGTCTGGGGTGTGAATGGGCCTTCTAGGACACTTGGTTTCTTATTTCTAAGCCACTCTAGTATTTCTTTGGCTGTGAGTTTAGGGTCATTATCCTGTTGGAAGGTGGATTTAAGAATGTTCTAGAACATGTTCACACTGCAGTTTGGGATTTTATAAAACAATAATTTAAGCATGATTGGTCTTTTTGAACAACTTTATCCTGGAGTTGTTTCATAGCTCCTTGGTCTTCATCATGCTGTTTATTTACATATGCTGTCCAGCAAGCTCAGAAGCCTTCCAGAAATAGATGTATTTAATATGAAATCATAAGACACTGAACTTCATTCAGTGTTTCACTGTGCAACATCTAGAGACAGTGGGTTCCACCAGGGCTTATTTAGAAGTGTCATACAAAGGGGGGCAATTCTTATGTGATCAACAAATGCTAGTTTGTTTTTGTTTAATTCAGTTTTGTGCCACAAATACTTTGTACCATCGTAAATATCTTGTATATATCAGTGTGAATTAAATAATTTTCAGACCTATGTTGTCCCACAACGAATTGTGGAAATGTCAAAAGGGAAGTGAAAGCTTCTGCAAGGCACTGTATAAAAGTCATGCATGAACACGTATACTATTTCAGCATAAGTAGTAATATATAAATAATAGTGAAGTTTATGTTTGGTATTTTGGGTAGCATGAGATGTATTAAGGCAACCTGGTGCCCCTCTATGGCTTGCTGGGCCATGCTGGGAGTTGTAGTCCAAGACATTTGGAAGATAACAGTTTCTCTATCCCTCTTATATGAGCTCTACTCACAGAGGAAAGTATAGATTCTAGGTTCTGTCTATTTGTTGGCATTCACCAACATAATGCCATTCACTCTTACCAGATTTGCAGATGACACAAACTGGGTGGGGTGGCTAAAATCCTGTAATATAGTAAACAAGGTTGGAGCACTGGGCTGAAAACAAAAGAATGACATTCAATAGGGATAAATGCAGCATTCTGCACCTTGGAAAAAGAAAGCAAATGCATTATTACAAGATGGAGGATACGTGGCTTGACAGTATTACAAGTATGAAATATCTTGGAACTTAAATAGATCACAAGCTAAACATTAGGAAAATGTGATGTGGCTACAGAAAAAAAGGCTTTTTTGAAATATATTCATAGACGTATCACTTCACATGAAGTACTAGTTCCCTTCTACTCAGCCCTCATGCTGAATGTTCTGCCTAATTCTGGGCACTACAATTTAAGAAAGATGCTGACAAACTGGAAAAGGTTCCGAGGAGGGCAACAAGAATGATCAGGGACTAGAAAAAAAAGCCCTATGAGGAGAGATTGAAAAAACTGGGCATGCCTTTGGCTGGAAAAAACTGGGCATGCCTTTGGCTGGATTCAGGGGAAATATGGTAGTACCTTTCAAGTACTTGAAACGTCACACAGAGGAAAGCCAGGATTTCATCTCTGTCATTCCAGAGTGTAGGATATGGAATAATGGGCTCAAGTTACAGGAAGCCAAATTAGGGCTGAACATCAGTAAGAACCTCTGTTAGAACAGTATGGTAATGCAACCGACAACCCAGGCAGGTTGTGGGCTTTCCAGAACTGGACGCATGCAAAAGGCAGTTGAACGGCCATCTGTCAGAGATGTTTTAATTTGAAGTCCTGCACTGAGCAGGAAGGTTGGGCTTGATGGCCTCCTTGGCCTGTTCCAGCTCCAGTATTCTATGAAAGCATAATTTATGCATTGACTGGCCTTTTATTTCTTGGTATTTGGAAATGCTTTAAGTATTATAATGGACCTTGGGTGCCTTGCTTCTATTAAGATTCTTGAAAATAAGTTGCTGTATCCTATGAGAATGCTTATCTTTTGTATATCACATGGATAGCTTTAGCTACTGGGTAGTATAGAAATGTTGCTCTGGTTATTAATATTTCTAAGCTATCTAAGGCTAATGGGAGCCAAACTAAGGTACTGAAGTGGGGATGGATTGCTTATGGTTACCATAGTTTAAAACCAAATTAATGACTTGAATTTACAAATATATCAGAAAACTAGGATTTATTGTTGCCCATGTGATTTCTTTTTATGTCTGTTTAGCTGGTTGTTTCAGGAAGGGAAGCAACAACTGTTAGTATATCTTGTCATTTCATTTACTGTGCCAAATCATTGTTTCCACAGTTCTTGGTTAAGGATCCCACTTCAATCCATAGATTCTGGTTTGCTATCCAGTCACGGCATCCTCTGCCCCTTCTTGCATCAATGAAACTGTTGTAAAACTTCTGCAAACATGATATGACATGATACCTGAATTAAGCCAAAATGCTTGTCTTAGTAATGTGCCAGATTTTTTTTAAAGAAGAGCAGTTCCTCTCTCAGATGATCCAGACCAGGTCTGTCTAGACTTCAGAAGTACCATAACTTTAAGAAAGCTGTCCAGAAGTTCTAATGTCCCCTCACTGGTTTTATGTTTCTGACATATAAGTATTCATCTGTGCCTTCTCCCTGCCAAATTCCTTCTTTGTGCTTCTACTTATCCATCAACATTTTAGTTTGCCAGTGTATGTAGTTCATGTGGGCATTTCCATTTTTAAAGTTGAGTTGTCTTGGTTTTTATGTTTGCTTGATATTGCTATTTAACCATGCTGGCATTATCTTGAACTTAAATATATAGAGAAAGACACAAAAAACTAGAAATATACAAGGGCAAGTGGTCCTTGAACATCTAGCTTTTAGAGGAATTTAGAAAAAAATATGTATGCCAGAGCTGAACTCTGGGGAACGCTAACCCCCACTCTTCTTGTAGAGAAATAGCTGATATACTAGTTCAGAAAAAGCCTGGACTGTATATGGGATTGCATAATTTTTTCATATAGGTAGTGGCTTGAATTACCCCTGGTGTGATATCATACTGTGTTGAAACATTTCTTTTCCACAAATGGGGCTCTTTTGAAAGTAGAAGAAAAGTTAGTGTGGCTTGTGGACTTGCTGAAATATGGTATAGATCTAGGACAGATAATTTATGGGTTGTATCCAGCAGAAAATATCTGTTGGTAGAATAAATTTTCTTCTCTCCTGAATTCTCCAGAACAGAGTTAAGGTCAGGTGGGGGCTACAGGTTGAAGAAGGAAAGGTTTGTTGCATGCACAACAGCTTGTTCATGTAATGTCGGTTGTAGGACTTATTTTTCAATGAATGTGTAGATTTGCTCATATTTAGGTGTTCATAAATTGAAATTAATAGGGTTTAGACACACTATAAAGCCCTTTGTAAAGCATTCAGTTTAGTAGAAATTAAGCATCTGTAACATGCTAACATGCACTCAGTTGTAGCTGACATTTGTACTGGTATAAAGTGATATAGTTCGTTATAAATTTGTATGCAAAGTGGCTAGTAAATTGAAGCTGAAGTAAAGCTAAATGTTAGTAATTTGATCTATAGATCTGATGCCAAATTTAAAAAAATATTTTATCATGCATTGTTCCTGATTGCAAGAACAGAAAATAGCAGGATGTTAATGAATTACATACCATTTTACATAAGAGAATGCTTGGTGTTTCTTTGGTAAAAGGTTTTCTTCCTCGATACCAGTTTTCACTTTTCTACTTCATAATATCAGTAATAATTTATTCATTTGGTGAGTTCAGTATACTTTCAACCTGAATCCCTCCTCCCACAAAAAACAATCCCCCCCCCGTGTGTGTGTGGGGGGGTGGAGGAATATTTGAATGAAGCAATCAATTTTGTTGACAGACTCAAATAGTTTATCTAGGACTATCTCCTTTTGGGTTAACAACAACAACAAAGAAGGGTGCAATAAAAGTAAGCCTTAAGAGAATTAGAATCAATACACAGATACATATATATTTATTGAACTGAAACCTACTGAATCTCTGAGAACAAAGGATTCTGAGTAATATATTATTCAAAGTGAAAATAAAGGGATAGATATCAAGATTAAGTAAGGTTTGTGCTAGAGAACAAAGTGGCTCATCTTTAGAGTTTTTCTTTGCCCCAAATACTGTTTTGTTTGTTGAGCTAAACTTCAAAATGGCTCATGCTGATAATGTCTTGTAACTTGATTGTTTTTATTAACTTGCTCTGAGAATCATTCACCATTGCACACAGTTGAATTTATTTGTCATTTTATTTTAAAATGTGCTTGTTAATAAAGTGCCATTGAAAATAGATGCTGTATTGTTACTAGCTCTAATCAGTCAGTGACACTGTGGTATCCTTTTTGTCTCCAGGGTAAGAAGAGTGACCTTTTTGATTGGCTGTAGCTGAAGATTGCTTGACAGAAGCCTCTGAAAAGGTAAGTAGCATTTCATGTTTGCTTTTGATGTACATGCGGAATGATACAAGTGCATGGATGCAGGCCTTGTTGGCTTTGTTAGCCTCTGAATTTGCCCTACTATGTTGAAAATTGCATCATATGAAGTACCTTAAACACCCCTTTGAGCCCCAGTAACAACATGAGAACATAGGAGCACCAGGTCACTGTAATCAACATTGCTGGATCACACTGGGAGCTGCAATTGAAATATATTGTGCAGTTAAATCCTATGCACACTTTCTTGGAAATAAGGCCAAAAGGTTTTTTCAGGATGTTAACCTTATAGCTCAATCCTATGCTGTATTCACAATACCTGGAGTGATCTGGTCAGATGTATAATCTCAGACTTTGAGGTGGTTTGGAACGCCTGTCCTTAAAGTTGCTTGGTTAGTGAGCTTTTGGCATGTTTGCATAACCTGATCTCCAATAATAGGCTAGAACCTGTTTTAGTAGAACAAATAAAACATAATTTATGATTTAAGAACATTTAATACCAGGTTTTTGAGGGCCTTTTGAAAGTTATGTTAATAGGGCTTTAGGCTATTCTTCATTTCAAGCCATGGAGTATACCTATTGTAGTTTAATTTTTTACCACTTTTTTGGGCTTCTCTAATCATTTAAAATTTGGAGAGAGTTCATCCATTATTATAATAAGCACTATATATAGAAGGTCACAGTTTGCTTAGCTTCTAGTTATGGATATTAGGAGTTTTATATTTACTTTCCTTTGGAAATTAATAGCTAAGTACCATAGCAACAAGCACCAGTGCTGTAGTATTAAGGTAGTGGATGTTCTGTGATATGAAGACAGTAATTATTAGTCCTTGGTCTTTCAATTTCATGACCTTTTTTACGCAAAAGTCTTCTTTTTCAATTTTCAAATTTTAAAAAATCAGTAACTCACTACAACACTGAATACTTGGGTAAAAATAGTTTTTTAAATAAACTTTTCAGAAAAGGTTTAAGATATGGCATTCAATCTTGCTTTTCTCTAAAGCATAGTTCATGTTGGCTTGTGGTAAATCTGAGTTCCAGGTTATTTAGGTTATACTTCCCAGAGACTGAAGCACCCTTTTTGTGCTTATTTCAAATGTAACTTGGAACTCTAGTGAATCTCAACTATATGATATTTAGTTCAGTAGGAGGTCAGCTACATGATGCTAATACTTTGATAGTAGTAATATTACCAATATTTTAATACTGTTTATTTTTACATTACAAATTGTACATTATTACAAAACTTTTGGAAAAGGACTAGTTCCTCCTATGAAGAAAATATAGATTCCCCCATTCTCCTTTTCATGTTGATGGGGTTTAACCCTACAACACTTTAATATTGGATACTGAGAGTTTGCACAATGACTTTACGTGACAGCAAACACACAGGTAGAATTCAGTGTAGCTTGTCCATGAGTAAGCTGCACTTCTTCCATTCAATAAGTGGCCAGTTCTTCCAGTGTGTCTGTGAGTTCATTGGAGATATAGTGTTTCTAAGGACAGACACTGAAATAAGCAGAAGCACTCTCTTATGGAATGGGGTGGGTCATCCATTATGTGAACCAGGTGAATCCCTGTTCTAAAAATTAGCATTTTTGCTCATTTCAAGTTACCCGCTCAAACACAACACTTCCATTCAACAAGCAGTGGCTGCTGCTTCTGCACCAAATCAGCAGGACTGGCTACTAACTGAGAAGTCGCCATTGGATGCTTTCCATGGTATGTTTATCACATAGTTTAGCTCACAACATCAGACTGGCTGATTTGTTGAAAGAATGGCTTGTGGGCAGGGATGGGCATCTCTGTCAGTGTTGTTTTTTCCCCCATATTAGTATTCTGAAGTTGAAAGTTCTTTCAACTCTGTTTATGAAGTAATTTGCACATTTTATGACTTCTTATAAAAAAGAATGCACTGAGTGAATTCTTACAAGGATAGTGAATCTGTACCTGCCAAATTCAATAGCTACAACTATTGCCAGCATGGACAAGGAAGGACATTGTCCTTTCTGTATAGCTGTTAAGGATAAGGAGTGTGACAGAAAAAAAGGGTGGTGACACCAAATTCAGCACCAAAAACTTGTTTGAATGCACAAAACTAGACTTCTTTGCAAAACTAAGTATGCAAAGCCCTGGACCTGAATTGATTATCCATCAGTTTTGTTTTTTCTCACATTTGAGTTTTTAAATTTCAACCTCTTTCTGTTTCATTTATAAAGAAACATGCACATTTATAAAAATTTTATTTAAAAACATGAACTGAACAAAATTTTCATCCATTTACTTGTGGTAACAAGAAATGTGAACTGTTGATAGCAATTTCAAATATTTCAAAATTCAAATATAATTGTAATGATAAGGTTACAAACAAAGCTGATTAACTCATTCTAAGTGGGTGGAAATGAGTTTCTGATTACACAATACATTCTGAAACCCCAACATTATTTACCACATACTAAATTTTCTAGTTACAGGGTCACTAGAGTATATTATTTCCATTTTTTAGCAAGTATGAAAACTTCACATCATGACAATCAATCCCGTGCTGTGTCCACTGTGCTCTTTTTTTCCACTGGTGGAAAACTCTGCTGCCTGAAAGACAATCAGGGTCATTTGGTAACTCTTTTCCTGTCTGCCAGTTTCTTCCCTGTCAGGTGGTATCCCAGGAGGCACCATTGGGAGGAATGCTGCACCTCACTTTGACAGTCTCAGTCATGAGCTGAGTATAGCTCACCTTGGTCGTCAAGCACTCTCTGCTGTGCAAACCGGGCTCATGCCCTGAAACACAGCAAAGAGTTGAAGGAGCTGGTCAGGCATCCTCCCTCCTGCTCCAGAGAGGCTTGCTCAAGTAGAATGTGTGTTTGTGCTTGATCCACACTCAGACAATACAGAGGAAATCAGCTGGGCAGTGCTGCACTGCCCCTGTGAGTACCTGAGCAAGAAACCTTTAGGAAGTAGTGATGAGGGGGGACCTGCCTTTCACCCTGCTACAGGTCCCCCCTCATCAGCTCCCAAGTGGGCATCTCTGTTGCCTAGCTGTTTCTCATTCCTGCCCTAGGCTCATTTGCACCCATCAGGGGCTTTCCTCTTGGGAATCAATGGATTGTCCTGGCTTCTTACTACAGCACTGCTCACCAGATTATCAGGTCTGCTGCTGGTCAACTCACAAAGGAACTTCCCTCTGGTGTGTGCAGAAGGATAGAGAGCAAATCTATGGAGCAGTGCTGCTCCTTTCCTCAGTGCTGACCAGCACATACTCAATTCTGCTGCTGGCTCTTGTGTACATGTAGCTTCTGTCTGGCATGTGTACAAGGAGGAGAGAAATCAATGAAGTGCTGTTGCTCCTTTCCATATTGCTGCCCAGCAGATTCTTGGCCATGCTACTGCTTGCATGCATGTGTGAGGAGCTTATCTGTAGCAAGCAGGAAGAGCAGCACAGGAGGAATTTGCTGAGGCATGCAGCCCCCGGCTGGATGCCACTGCCCAGTGGATTCTCACTGTTCCTGCATGTGTGGAAGAGGCGGCAAGCGAATTAACTGAGCAGCACTACTCTACTCCCTTGATTGCTCACTTCTTCTTGAAAGATCTTTAGAGCAGGAAGCAGGAGGAGTAGAGTTGTTTCTGACAGATGTACAAAATGACAGTTGTCAGTGGCACTCTGGTTAGCTGCTTGGCAAGAGCAGCAGACTGTTTTCCAAGAGTCTCCATGGTTCTGGTCTTGGTATAATAAGCTGAATTTCCAGTTCAGATGACAAAGCAAGGAGTCATACTGAGAAGAGAGGATACTGTAGTTGTTGTCCTTGGTTTCTCAAAGTGAGAAATACCATGCTAAGTACCACAAAGAGGTCTGGACAATGTGACAGACCAACAGAGTTAAACAAAACATCCATTGCTTGTTGTGTCATGCAAGCTTGACCAGTGTGTCCCCTTCCAAGCCCATAGTGAGGGTACATAAAGCAATATACCTGAGTAAGTCTTTAGAAAAATGCAGTTGCTAATGCTTCTAAAACTGATCTTAGAGAAGCATAGGCGCTTCAGTTGCATTGCTCCACCTAAGCCTATTATTGTTGGCAGTGACTGGCAGTGGCTATCAGGATTTGAGGCAGTGGCACTCCAGAGTTTTCCAGACCTATCTGGAGATACTGGGGTGTATGCTCTATCACTAAGTTTCTCCTGGGTTGTGTATTTGATGTAAAAGAAGAGATAAGTGTCATGTATTTTGCTATAGAACATATACATGCTATTGTAGAAATACCTTGGTAAGATTTCTGAAATTGTGTTACTGGAATATTAAGTTTTATTGGACAATTCTAGGGCTTTTAAATCCCAGTTCTGAGAACTCTGTGGAACCTCTTAAAACTTTCTTAATCTGGAGTAGTGGAAATTGTATTGTCCCATCTGTTCTGGTTCATGACACAAAGTATGCAAATAAATAACTAATGATCTAGTTTTCCAGTTTTGGTGGTAAATTACTGGTTATTTAATTCATGATTCATAGGGCTGCATATAAGTGTAATATGAAGTTCTCTATATGAATAGAGAACCTGGATTGATGGGTTGTTTAGGGGCTAAACGACCCAGCAGTTAACCCATGATTTGTTGTTGGGTTAAGTGTCTGATTGTTTAACTGCTAAATAAGTAATCAGTCCAGGTTCAAATGTCACTCTGACAGTGCCTAATCACACTAATTGGAGGTTGTTTTCAGAAAGTGGAAGGGGCTCATGCATGACACTCATCCCTGAAAATTAAGTTAATTAACCTATAATTTGCTGCATAATACCACTGTGACATACAAACAACCTCAGTGTATGTCATGATTCCCTGAAAGACTAATTATTCTTCTATTCACACATTCAATTTCATAATTATTTTTTCTTATTTCATGACTTTTCATTAATCAGGCAAAATATTTTATATAGTATTTTGGTTATATTTTACAAAAAAAAATCTTCTTTTTGACGGCCAAATTAAATTAAACATTCTAG